AAAGCGATGAAAGCACAGGCAGCAAGTTTCGTAACGGTCGTAACGTGCAGGGTCAGCATCCGGTTACAACCCAGCATGCAATGCAGCGTCATGCTTGTCTAGAAGTAATCAGAGAAATCCCGGACGTGGTTTTTCAGGCTTGAGGTTTATCATGGTTTAGCCTTTTAAGCCTGGATGAAATCATGTGTCAAGAAGGTGAAACGGTGTATGTCATTATAAAATTATAAATACCAGTAGTACCCGCACGAGGCGGGGCGGAAGTTGCCTTAAATATATATATAAGACCTTTCTCATCTATAGAACCTGCATGCGCCCTGCGCCAGCCAAGCCCGTGCGTGCGTGCACTCTGCGAAACTGGTGTCTTGTTTCACATGTCGCATTTGAAGCTCCACTTCACACTTCACACTTGACAGTCTTCACACTACACACTTCACACTACGCTCTTCACGCTGCACTCTTCGCACTTCACACTCCACACTCTTCACACTTCACACTGCACTCTTCGCACTCCACACTTCACACTTCACACTGCACACTTCACAGTCCACACTTCACACTGCTCTCTTCGCACTCCAAACGTCACACTTCACAGTCCACACTTCACACTTCACAGTCCACACTCCACACTTCTCACTTCTCACTGCTTCCTTCACACTCCAAACTTCACACATCGCACTTCACGCCCCACACTTCACACTGCACTCTTCACACCCCACACTTCATCTAATCTGAGCTCTTCTCACCTTATCCCAGCTCAGCTCTTCTCATCTCATCTCTTCTCATATGTCATGCAAGCTTTCATGAATCACTTCCCAGTACTACTACTAAGGAACTGCGCACAAAACCACTTCCCAGTACTACTTTGTATTGCACAGCTTGCACAAAACACGTTCCAGTACTACTTTGTACTACAAAGCTTGCACAAAACACTTCCAAGTACTACTTTGTACTACAAAGCTTGCACAAAGCACTTCCCAGTACTACTTTGTACTACAAAGCTTGCAGAAACTACTTCCCAGTACTACTTTGTACTACAAAGCTTGCACAAAGGCGTCGGAAATTGGAGCTCCAAAACCGGATCTCGACGCCAAAGCGACAAAAAGACGATTTTGAAGCACTTTTTAAAAAAACATTTAAAAGGAAAATGACTAGCGCCAAAATTGCGAAAATCTGCTGACAAATCAATCTCGCAGCCTGGATGCAGCCACTCCAATACGATTTACGATGTTCAGCTGCAAAAGACAATAGCATTACGCATGCAGCCGCGGCACCGAGCAACCTTGACGCAGCCACTACAATGCGATCTGCAGAGACTGAGTTGCAAAACACAAAAGAACTACGCGCAACAGCCTCGGAAACTGCAGCTCCAAAACCGGATCTCGACGCCAAAGCGAAACAAAAACGATTTTGAAGCACTTTTTATAGGTATTTTAAAAAGGAAAATTGCAACATTCATGCAGCCATTCCAATGCGTTTTGCAGCATGACGTGGCTAACCCGCATGCATCTACGCACATGGCAACACCAGATGACAATGACAACAATCATGCGGCCATTTCAATGCGATCTGCAACCACAGATTCAAGAAACGCATAGAACTACGCACACAGGAACAACCACTCGTTGCAGAACACAGAGGAGGAACCGATTGAACTCGAAACGATCCAAACCGCAACCGCCGCACACACGAGGTACCCTTTCATCGCCGGCTGAAGCCACTTTACACAGAAAAATACAAGGTTTCGTGCTCCGGCTTCCTCCCCAAAACAAAGCCCATGCAACATTCATGCAGCCATTCCAATGCGATCTGCAACCACAGGTTCAAGAAACGCATAGAACTACGCACACAGGAACAACCACTCGTTGCAGAACACAGAGGAGGAACCGATTGAACTCGAAACGATCCAAACCGCAACCGCCGCACACACGAGGTATCTTTCATCGCCGGCTGAAGCCATTTTACACAGAAAAATACAAGGTTTCGTGCTCCGGCTTCCTCCCCAAAAGAAAGCCCATGCAACATTAATGCAGCCATACAATGCGTTTTGACAGCATGACGTGCTAACCCGCATGCATCTACGCACAGGCAAACACCAGATGACAACAATCATGCGGCCATTCACTGCGATCTGCAACCACAGAGATTCAAGAAACGCATAGAACTACGCACACAGGAACAACCACTCGTTGCAGAACACAGAGGAGGAACCGATTGAACTCGAAACGATCCAAACCGCACCCGCCGCACAGACGAGGTACCTTTCATCGCCGGCTGAAGCCACTTTACACGGAAAAATGTAAGGTTTCGTGCTCCGGCCTCCTCCCCAAAAGAAAGCCCATGCAACATTCATGCAGCCATTACAATGCGTTTTACAGCATGACGTGGCTGACCCGCATGCATCTACGCACATGGCAACACCAGATGACAACAATCATGCAGCCATTCCAATGCGATCTCCAACCACAGATTCAAGAAACGAATAGAACTACGCACACAGGAACAACCACTGGTTGCAGAACACAGAGGAGGAACCGATTGAACTCGAAACGATCCAAACCGCACCCGCCGCACACACGAGGTAACTTTCATCGCCGGCTGCAGCCACTTTACACGGAAAAACACAAGGTTTCGTGCTCCGGCTTCATCCCCAAAAGAAAGCCCATGCAACATTCATGCAGCCATTACAATGCGTTTTACAGCATGACGTGGCTAACCCGCATGCATCTACGCACATGGCAACACCAGATGACAACAATCATGCAGCCATTCCAATGCTATCTGCAACCACAGATTCAAGAAACGCATAGAACTACGCACACAGGAACAACCAGTCGTTGCAGAACACAGAGGAGGAACCGATTGAACTCGAAACGATCCAAACCGCACCCGCCGCACACACGAGGTACCTTTCATCGCCGGCTGAAGCCACTTTACACGGAAAAATACAAGGTTTCGTGCTCCGGCTTCCTCCCCAAAAGAAAGCCCATGCAACATTCATGCAGCCATTACAATGCGTTTTGCAGCATGACGTGGCTAACCCGCATGCATCTACGCACATGGCAACACCAGATGACAACAATCATGCAGCCATTCCAATGCGATCTGCAACCACAGATTCAAGAAACGCATAGAACTACGCACACAGGAACAACCACTCGTTGCAGAACACAGAGGAGGAACCGATTGAACTCGAAACGATCCAAACCGCACCCGCCGCACACACGAGGTACCTTTCATCGCCGGCTGAAGCCACTTTCCACTTTACACGGAAAAACACAAGGTTTCGTGCTCCGGCTTCCTCCCCAAAAGAAAGCCCATGCAACATTCATGCAGCCATTACAATGCGTTTTACAGCATGACGTGGCTAACCCGCATGCATCTACGCACATGGCAACACCAGATGACAACAATCATGCAGCCATTCCAATTCGATCTGCAACTACAGACTCAAGAAACGCATAGAACTACGCACACAGGAACAACCACTCGTTGCAGAACACAGAGGAGGAACCGATTGAACTCGAAACGATCCAAACCGCACCCGCCGCACACACGAGGTACCTTTCATCGTCGGCTGAAGCAACTTTACACGGAAAAACGCAAGGTTTCGTGCTCCGGCTTCCTCCCCAAAAGAAAGCCCATGCAACATTCATGCAGCCATTACAATGCGTTTTGCAGCATGACGCGGCTAACCCGCATGCATCTACGCACATGGCAACACCAGATGACAACAATCATGCGGCCATTTCAATGCGATCTGCAACCACAGATTCAAGAAACGAATAGAACTACGCACACAGGAACAACCACTCGTTGCAGAACACAGAGGAGGAACCGATTGAACTCGAAACGATCCAAACCGCACCCGCCGCACACACGAAGTACCTTTCATCGCCGGCTGCAGCCACTTTACAGGGAAAAACACAAGGTTTCGTGCTCCGGCTTCCTCCCCAACTCACCACTTGCCTTCGTCACCGCTTCCCTTCCTCACCACTTCCCTTCCTCACCACTCCCCTTCATCATCACTTCCCTTCTTCACCACTTCCCTTCCTCACCACTTCCCATCGTCACCGCTTCCCTTCCTTACCACTTCCCTCACCACTTCCCTTCCTCACCATTCCCCTTCATCATCTCTTCCCTTCTTCACCACTTCCCTTCCTCACCACTTCCCATCGTCACCGCTTCCCTTCCTTACCACTTCCCTCACCACTTCCCTTCCTCACCACTCCCCTTCATCATCGCTTCCCTTCTTCACCACTTCCCTTCCTCACCACTTCCCATCGTCACCACTTCCCTTCCTCACCACTTCCCTTCCTCACCACTTCCCTTCGTCACCACTTTCCATCGTCACCACTTCCCTTCCTCACCACTTCCCTTCGTCACCACTTCCCTTCCTCACCACTTCCCTTCCTCACCACTTCCCTTCCTCACCACTTCCCATCGTCACCACCTCCCTTCTCACCACTCCCCTTCATCACCACTTCCCTTCGTCACCACTTCCCTTCCTCACCACTTCCCATCGTCCCCACCTCCCTTCCTCACCACTCCCCTTCATCACCACTTCCCTTCGTCACCACTTCCCTTCCTCACCACTTCCCATCGCAACATCCCTTCGTCACCACCCTGTGTCATAGCTTCTTATTCTTTTGTTATGTATTGTTAGATAATGTATTGTTCTGTGATCCACCACCCTTCATCATAGTCAATTGCATCAAGTAAAAGTCATTCGTAACTCGGAAGTATTGCTTCCCAACTTCCTTTGATAAATATTTAATATTATATATTATATTTCAGCGTAAGATATCACTGAAGGATATCACTGTACGATACCACCGTAAGATATCACTGTAAGACCCTGTAGCAAGAGCTGCAGTATCCGCAAGGACGCTCATCGACTTGTTCTCAAAAGCACGCTAAAAGACTAGTAGATAAAAGGTAACCATGTGTACCTACTGCAGTTGTTGATATTCTGCCAGTGTCACCACCTGTTCTTTAGTCAGGTGCTGCCTGGGCGGTCTCGACTGCTCGCAAAGGCGAGCAGCAACTGGCAACAAACAAGGGCCCTGCTGGTCACTTCCAGAGTTTGCTTTATTTTGTTTATTTTGAAGAGATTTGAATATGCACTGCGGCACTTTGCGCTTGAGGCTATTCTGGAGTTTGTGCAATCTTTCGTGACTCTGCTGGTGGAGGTGTTAGTAACACGACTGCCGGGGAAATTGACCAAGTGGATGCAGCGGAAGGGCGCAGTGATTCTTGGCAGCAACAATGTTTGTTCTTGTTTTTCTTGGCCGAGCGTGCGGAGGTTGACAGGTTTGTGGGAAAGGTCTAAAAGTGTTTCGGCCATTTCGATCCATTCCTTCGACTCAGGTGCGCTTAGATTTGGAATGCGGCCTGATTGTCATTGGAATGTATGTGCCAAACTCTGGGCAAAAATTGGCACGCCTGGATTACCGAGTCAATGAGACTCGGCCGTGAAGTATTGCGTGTGGACTACTGGCAGCACTTTGGTGATCCCTTATATATATATGTATATATATATATATATACATATATATATATATTTATGTGTATATATATATATATACATATATATATATGTGTATATATATATATGTATATATATATATGTCTATTATATTTATATGTATATTATATTTATATATGTGTATATATATGTACATTTGTATATATATATATATATTATATGTATATATAAAGGATATATAGTGCCGGACATACACTTAGAACATCAAAGTTTCCAAATCAGATCTCACACTTAGAAACGCTTGTTTAAGGATTTTGCGCCACAGTTAGAACATCCCACTTAGAACATCTGAGCAACATTGCCCCTAATGTTCTAAGTGTGGGGTCTTTGCAAGCTACTGATAGTTTTTGAACATTATCATACATTATCCCATCATCAACTCTGCACACATTTCCCTTTTTTTTGATCAAATCGCTTGCAATTCACGATGCTTTGGATGCCTTTGCTTGGCAATGTTTGCAAACTTGATATGTACACATCTCAGCAGATTTTCCCAAGTGCCGGTTGCATAGCGATCATTTCAAGCTAATGTTGATGCCTTTGTTTGGCAATTCTTGCACACCTCATATATACACATCTCTGTCGATCTTCCCAAGCAGTTGCGCTTCAGATGTGCCTGACAGGGATTCGTCTATGTGTGGAGGGAAACTCACCAGACGGCGGTTCTAAAGTGAGAGATTGGACAATTTGGAAACATTGATGTTCTAGGTGGTTGTCCATCACTATAATCGTTTTCATATGTACGTTTATATAGTTCGATAAATATTGCATGAAAAGTATATATACATATCATATAAACAAATAAGACAAATAAATAAAATACATATTTAAGCGCTTACGCGCGACAGCCAGCCAGGGGCCCAACTATGTAGGCCCATTGTGTGGCTATGTTGGCCTATGTTGGCGTATGTTGGCCTATCTTGCGGGCAATGTGGGCCCATCTTGTGGCCATGTTGGCCTATGTTGGCCTCATGTTGATTCATGTTGAGCCAAAAGATCCGAAAAATGGGAACAGCAAAAAAAACACTGTAAAACGCAGGATATTTTGATGGTCGGCGGCCTATCTTGGGGCTATGTGGGCCCATCTTGGGGCTATGTCGGCCTATCTTGAGGGCAATGTAGGCCCATCTGCGGGCTATGTTGGCCCATCTTGGGGCTATGTTGGCCCATCTTAGAGCTATGTTGGCCCATCTTGGGGCTATGTTGGCCCATCTTGGGGCTATGTTGGCCCATCTTGAGGCCTATGTTGGCCCATCTTGAGGCCTATGTTGGCCCATGTTGACCCATCTTAAACCACAAGATCCGAAAAATGGGAAAAAATGGGAAGAGCACAAAACACCGTAAAACGCGGGGGTTTTTGGCGGGGGGGAGAGGTCGGCGGCTGGGGCGGCGGCCCCTCTCTCCTACGGAGAGGAGAGAACTGCCGTACGGCAAGGACACGGCCAGGGGGCCCCTGGCCGGATTTTTGGGCTGACGCCCCTCGTCGGCTCCGCCGGACCACTCGGCCCTCCATTTCATCGCAGTGTGGGCGTGAAAGTTACTGAATGAGGACCTGCTTCAGAAATATATTCCTTAGGTTTTTTGGAACATATTTGTTGGAATAGACGATTTTTTGGGGAGCAAGTGAGTTCCCGAAAGCTCCTGCGAAGGTTTTTCCTAAAGAACTGCTGCCGATTTCAACTTGTTACTTCGTGTAAAGGCGCCTCTGTGCAAAGACTTCTCTGTGTAAAAGCTTTTGTGTGTAAAAGTTTCTGTGTGTAAAAACCACTTTGTGTAAAGACTTTTTTGTGTAAACGCTTCTCTGTGTGAAAGCACGTCTTTGTAAAGATTTCTCTGTGTGTAAAAGCTTCCGTGTATGAAAACTCTCTGTGTAAAGGCTTCTCTGTGTAAAAGTTTCTGTGTGTAAACGCGTCTGTGTGTTAAAGCTCTCTGTGTAAAGACTTCTTTGTGTAACAGCTTTTGTGTGTAAAAGCTCCAAGATGTTTGTGTGAAAAAGCTCCTCAGAGGAAAGACTTCTCTGTGTAAAACCTTCTGTGTGTAAAAAGCTACTCTGTGTAAATGTGTAAAAGCCCCTGCGTGTGTAAAAGCTTGCTGTGTGTAAACGCTTTGGTGTGTAAACGCTCCTCTGTGTAAAGGCTTCTCTGTGTAAAAGCTTCTGTGTGCAAACGCGTCTGTGTGTAAAAAGCCCTCTGTGTAAAGACTTCTTCGTTTAAAAACTTCTGTGAGTTAAAGCTCCTAGACGTTTGTCTGCAAAAGCACCTTAGAGTAAAGACTTCTCTGTGTAAAACCTTCTGTATGTAAAAAGCTCCTTTGTGTAAAGACTTCTCTGTGTAAAAGCCCCTGTGTGTGTGGGTAAAAGCTTCTGTGCGTCTCCTCCCTCCAGCTTTCTTTCGGGTCACGCTGTCGTCCAGTTTCAATCTGCAACGTTGTTTCTTGTGGAAGAGTGCAAAATAATGCAAAGAACATGTGAACGCATCGCGCGTTTAAAAATTGAACATAAACAGCGCACAAAGTGCTGTAATTTACAGCATATTGCGCTGTCAGCTGGCAACCCGCGTAAATACGACAGTTTTAGTCCCCCAAAGTGGCTAAAACACTGTTATTTACAGGGTTTCGTTCACGTCACGATCTTCGATTTTTTGGGAAACGCGTAAATACCAGCGTTTTTTGCGTTCATCAAGGCAAAACATCGGTTCAAAAAGTGCAAAAAATGCTGTAATTTATAGGGGTTTGGCGCCGTCACGGGCAAAAAACTGTGTAAATACCAGCGTTTCAGCGCCCAAAAGTGGCTAAAACACCGCTATTTACAGTGTTTCGTGCCTTCCACGTTTTCTTGAAATTGCAAAAACACTGTGAATACCAGCATTTTTTGCGATCAACCCGCCAAAAATGCTGTAATTTACAGTGTTTTTTTGCTTTGCTTTCAAAAACACTGGTATTTGCAGTGTTTTGTGCATCTCCGGTCTAAAAAGTATTGGTATTTACAGCATTTTCTGCTTTTTTTCATTGCTCCCGCAAAAGACGTCAAAACGCAAAAATGCTGTAATTTACAGCATTTTGTCCATTTCGAAAAGTTGAAAATCGTCCGAAAAATGTGTCAAAACGACACTTTTTTCCGATTTTAGGTACCCTCAAAACGGAGGGGGGGGGGGGAATGCTCTTGGAGACGCTTATGAGCGACCCGGATTCCCGCCAAAAAGCTCTCCCCCACCCTCCTGAAGGATTTTTGGTGTTTTTCGGGGCCCGGCGTCGGAGGGTCGGCGGCTTGGGGCGCGCCTCACCATAGAGCTCTAGTCGGGAGCCGGCGGAGCCGAATTTAAGGGCTAACGCCCCTCGTCGGCTCCGCCGGATTTCTCGGCCCTCCATTTCATTGCAGTGTGGGGGCTGGAAAGCTTTTGGATGGGGACCTGCTTCAGAAATATATTCCTTACGTTTTTTGAAAAAAAAAAGAACAGGAACTTTGTTGGAAATAGACGGCTTTTTTGGGGAGCAAGTGAGTGCCCGAAAGCTCCTGCCAAGGGTTTTTCCCGAAGAACTGCTGCCAATTTCAATTTGTGACTTCATGTCAAGACGCCTCTGTGCAAAGACTTCTCTGTGTAAAAGCTTTTGTGTGTAAAAGTTTCTGTGTGTAAAAACCACTTTGTGTAAAGACTTCTTTGTGTAAAGCTTCTATGTGTGAAAGCTTCTCTGTGTGAAATGTCTGTGTAAAGATTTCACTGTGTGTAAAAGCTTCGGTGTGTAAAAACTCTCTGTGTAAAGTGTAAAGGCTTCTCTGTGTAAAAGCCTCTGTGTGTAAACGCGTCTGTGTGTGAAAGCTATATATCTGTGTAAAGACTTCTTTGTGTAACAGCTTCTGTATGTAAAGGCTCCTAGACGTTTGTGTGCAAAAGCTCCTTGGAGTAAAGACTTCTCTGTGTAAAACCTTCTGTGTGTAAAAAGCTCCTTTGTGTAAAGACTTCTCTGTGTAAAAGCCCCTGTGTGTGTAAATGCTTTTGTGTGTAAAAGCTCCTCTGTGTAAAGGCTTCTCTGTGTAAAAAAGCTTCTGTGTGCAAACACGTCTGTGTGTAAAAACCCTCTCTGTCAGGCCTTCTTCGTGTAAAAAGTTTTGTGTGAAAAAGCTCCTAGACGTTTGTGTGCAAAAGCTCCTTAGGGTAAAGACTTCTCTGTGTAAAACCTTCTGTGTGTAAAAAGCTCCTTTGTGTAAGGACTTCTTTGTGTAAAAGCCCCTGTGTGTAAAAGCTTGCTGTGTGTAAACGCTTTTGTGTGTATAAGCTCCTCTGGCTGAAGGCTTCTCTGTGTAAAAGCTTTTGCGTGTAAAAGTTGCTGTGTGTAAAAACCACTTTGTGTAAAGACTTCTTTGTGTAAAAGCTTCTGCGTGTGAAAGCTTCTCTGTGTGAAAGCGCGCCTGTGTAAAGATTTCACTGTGTAAAATTCTCTGTGTAAACGCTTCTCTGTGTAAAAGATTCTGTGTGTAAACGCGTCTGTGAATGAAAGCTATATATCTGTGTAAAGACTTCTTCGTGGAACAGCTTCTGTGTGCAAAGGCTCCTAGACGTTTGTGTGCAAAAGCTCCTTAGAGTAAAGACTTCTCTGTGTAAAACCTTGCGGCCAGGTTTTGGCAAAAACGGCCGTTTCCCAATGATCCCCGAAGAGAAATTCAATAGCCGGCCGAGGGGCCGCCAAATGGCAGAAATTTGCTTCCAAAAGGCTCCCGGCCAGGATTTGGCCAAAAACGGCCGTTTCCCAATGATCCCAGAAGAGAAATTCAATAGCCGGCCGAGGGGCCGCCAAATGGCAGAAATTTGCTTCCAAAAGGCTCCCGGCCAGGATTTGGCAAAAACCGGCCGTTTCCCAATGATCCCAGAAGAGAAATTCAATAGCCGGCCGAGGGGCCGCCAAAGGGTAGAAATTTGCT